TGTCCAGGTGTCTCTGTGATGGACTGAGACATGTCCAGGTGTCTCTGTGATGGACTGAGACATGTCCAGGTGTCTCTGTTTGTCCCATCTGTACCTGTAAAGTCTGTGTCCAGTGTTTGATGAGATATTTTGCTAACAGACAGTGTCACTGTCTGTGATCCTCCTGTGGTGTCCTCAGCTCCACAGAGGGTTCTGTTGTCCGGTCTGGACCGGGTCCGAGGGGCGGGACTTCTTTCTGGACGCGGCTCGGAGCCAGATCTCGGGGCAGGTCCGGAGCGGGTTCTGATTGGCTGCTCGTTCCGGTCTGTGATTGGCTGTCAGCAGCTGAAACTTTCTCACTAACTTAGTTCGGATGAGGTTCGGCTGCAGCAACATGGACCGGAGGATGCTGCGGGCTCCAGCCGGAACCAGGACTGTGTCTGCGGATCTGGACCTATAGACTCAGGTGACCCACGCACGGCTCGAGCAGACGTGAGATGGTTCCGACCTGCCTCCGAACCTGGGATGACGTAACCTGAAGCGGGTTCTGACGCCGGGATGAGGGAGCTGGTCTGCCTGGTGGTCCTGCTGTGGGGGTCCGGTCTGAGCAGCAGAACCTGTCCGGACCTGGTGGTGGAGAGCTGCCACTGCTCGGCTGACAGGTCCAAAGACCTGAGCAGGCAGCCCGTCCGGGTCCGGGTCCGGGTCCTGTGTGAGGATGTGGACCTGATGGACACCCTGCCGCCCAGGTTCCTGCCCAACAGAACCGTGTCCCTGTAAGTAGGTCCAGTGTCAGGTTCTGTTTGTAAACTCACACAGTCAGAAATTACCTCCAATATTTTTATTTAAACCTTTTATATAAAAAAGAACAGATTTATTTTTCAAAGTCAGTTTTTCACCAAATGATTCATACATTTATAAATGTCATAGTTTATAAACTAAATATTTAACTTACAAATTAAATAATTAGTTAACAAGATAAATGTTTAGCTTGCAACTTAAATATTTTATGTAAGCTGCTAGCTAAAGTTGTAACCTAAAAAGCATCAAGGCCGATTGACACCTCATTGGACCAACTGGGTTCAAGTATCAGCTGTCCACAGCCAATAATATATGACAAGTGACCAACTTCCGGTTTCCATCATTCTGGGTTTAATTGACTGTAAAATCGGCCAATCAGCTCCGAGCTTCATTATGATGCCACAGCTGTGTAGCCAATCACTGTACCTTTCATTTGGTGTATATATTGAGGGGTGGGAACTGGAGGCGGCCATCTTTTGACAGTAGTATTTCTATGCTAAAGAAGGAAGCTAACGCTCACAGGAAAACATTGTTTTCCATCGTTTTTTTCCAGTTATCTGACTAAACCTGCTGAAAAGATGAAAATATATTTGTTATTAAGTGTATCGAGTGCTTCAAGACATGGAAGAGTGATTTTTGTGGCCAGGAGACGTTAAAATGTTTGGATAAAAAGACTTCCGRTCGGCCATTTTGAATCATTAATTTCTTCATATTTGAGGACAAATATGCATCAAATGTGAGTAAAAATCAATATATTTTCACTGCTGGTGGTTTTATAAGCTGTGTGGAATGTTAATGCT